AGGATCAAACGAGAGCATGGGAGTGACAAACAAGGGCTCACAGAGCCTAAAGTCTAGAAGGAAAGTCAAATAAAATGTGTGTGTGTGTGTGTGTGCCCACACACACACACAGGGAGAGACAGAGAGAAAACATATATAAATAAGTATCGTAAATGAACAGAGCGCCAAAGAAGAACAAAATAGGAGAATTATATTTGAGGACTTTAGGAGCCGGACCTTTAGAAGCAGTGGTGTGTGATCTGAGCACTGTGGGGTGGGGGGGAATTCCTTCCGCCCCTCCTGGGAGGACAGCCGCATCACTCTTGTGACTACCAGCCACTGAGAGGGAGCTCTCCGTTCCACAGCACCAGAGGGGGACCAGTCTCCCTGGGGGAGAATCCCCAGCTCCCTGCCCACGGGAGGCACTTCTTACCCCAGCCCACTGTGGAAAGTTCCTAAGAGGTCACTGCCAGCCCTCCCAGGAGCCCCACCCCGCCCACCGCGCCTTCCACCTAATAACACCTCCACTCTCTCAGGGCTCCCTCTAATTAGGGCCCTTCCCTCCACTCCTTGCCTGCAGAACCTGCTGGGCCAGAAACTCATGTATGTAATCCTGCTCTGTCTCTAAACTTTTGGAAAATGTGTACCTTCCCCAGAACCACCCTGCTCCTGGCCTCTCGCCCATCTCCTCCCACTCCTGGCACACCGGTGGCCCTCGGGCAGGGTGAAGAGGTGGTTTTTCTTAATAATAACTTTATTGAGATGAAATGACTATCACAAAGCCTGCCTTTTTAATACAGTATGTAATTCACTGGTTTTGTATACTCACGCGTTGTGTGTTGAACTCCACTACCTAATTTCAGAATGTTTGCCTCATCCCCCAAAGAAATCCAAACCCATTAGCAATCGCTCCCATTTCTCCCTCCCCTGCCCACCCCCAGCCCCCGGAAGAATCAACTCTCAGTGACTTTCTCTGTTCTGTGCATTCCGTACAAATGGGATCATGGATGTGTGGCCTTTTGCGACTGTCTGCTTTCACTTCGCGTAGTGTTTTCAAGGGTCATCCGCGTGTAGCTGGTGCTCCTTTCTGTGGCTGAATGATGCCCACTGTCTAGATGTGCCACATCTAGTTTATCCACACATGGTGGATGGACGCCCGAGTTGGCTCTGCTCTTTTATCATCATGACCGAAGCTGATACACATAAGTTTTTGTGTGAACGAGACTTTAGTTCTTGAAGAGGTGATTTTGAGGTGCAGGATGCTTCCACAGGACTGAGGCTTGGTTAGCCCCGCCACCCCCTCCCCCACTATTTTTTTCACACTAGCATATTCTAGAGAAAGGACACAGGCGGGAACAGACAGAGCAGGACAGAAGGACACAGAAAGAAACAGACAAAGAAGAAGAGCCCACCCCAGGAAGAATTTTCCTGAGTGGGCCAGTGGGAGGGAGGCAGCACAGGACAGCGGGGCTGTGGTCACCACAGCGAGAAAGTCACAGAAGCCCCGGGTGGGGGGCATATTGGTGCTGGAGAACATGTCTTCCCTCATGTCTCACACTGGAGGAGAAGTCACCCGAGGGTGGGGATGAGTCACGGCCTGGAATTGAGAAGGAATTAGCTGGTGAGAAATGTAACCAGTCAGGGCAGTGGGCTGGGTCCGTGCAGCAAGAAGACAGGAATTTTCCACTCTGCGGCAAGCATCCAAGACCAGTTGAAAGAAAAGCTGCCGCCCGCCCCTGGGGACCTCACCCTGCCTTTCATTCCAGACACTCAGGTGGCCCCAGTAATGTGCCTGGCCCTGCAGGAGGCCCAGAAGATGGATCTAGGGAGGAGCAGGCCCAGGCACAGGCCCCGGGGAGGCCAGGGTCAGGAAAAAGGGGCAAGTAAGGGGTCAGGGGTAAGCCTAGAGAAGCCATGGGCACTCGGGGAAGGAGATGTCATTCCTGATGTGGCAAAGCCAGGAGCCTTCTGGAAGAGCTAGCCTTCAGAAAGCACTTTAAAGAGCAGGTGGAATTGGAGACGTCAAAATGTGGGGTGGGGTGGCACGAGAGAAAGCATCAGGATGGGAAGCCCAGAGGGTGAGGCTCAGAGTGATCCACAGGTTCAGGGGAAAGAGTAGACGGGAACTCCATGGCAGAAGCCCCGTTGACTCTGTTGGAAAGAGGAGGCTCAACATGATGTCTGTCAGAGGGTGGCAGGAACCGTGTCTTAGCTCGGAACCCGAGTGCCCCTTCCTTTACCAACTTGAACAGATCATCTTCCCGCTTTGGGTTCAATCTTCAATTAAATAGGGGGCTTTGATCAACCTAGTATTCACAATTCTGAAACCCGAGAAATTTTTGGAGAGTTTCCCTCCCCCCAACTTAAAATTATGGAAAACAGCTGAGTGGGTGAGCTCTGGAGTCCCTCCCAACTTGACATCCAGGGGGCTGGGAAGGAGGTATGACCTCCCATTCCCCACCTGGCTTCTGCAGCCCTGATGGCCTGCTGGTGTGCCAGGCCCCTCCCGGCTGTCACAAGGTTTGGGCTCAGGCTGCACAAACTCCCCCAGGTGGCTGAGGTTAGTGCTCACAAAAGCACATCCTTCCTGCCAGAGTCAAGCAGGACCAATAGACAGCACAGTCTAATCAGCAATCACTATAATGGTGACAATAATCATGATGCCTCAACTAATTTTAATGGAACAGTGGTTGTATGCTGGGTATGGTTCTAAGATCCTTCCATTGGATAAATAATTTGTAAAACCCAAAGATTTAAACATCACAGCAATCATTTGAGGAGGCTGTTAATATAATCCCCACTTTAAGTGATTAGAGGGGAGAGAGGAAGAATTTCTCTGTAAAAGAGCACAGAGAGGACACCTGTCATCCTGTCATCCCAGCAACTCAGAAAGCTGAGGCAGGAGGATCACAAATTCAAAGCCAGCCTCAGCAACTTAGCAATTTAGCAAAGCCCTATGCAACCTGTCTCTAATTAAAATATTAAAAGGGCTGGGGATGTGGATCAGGGATATGGTTCAACCCTAGATAGATAGATAGATAGATAGATAGATAGATAGATAGATAGATAGATCTCACAAAGACGCTAACTGCACACAACAGGCTACCTCAGAATCTGCCTTGAGAGAACTTCTGCCAGCTGAGGGCTCTGGTTTTACTTAGATTGTATATTTAAGATCAATAAAAGTAGATAATTGGAGAAAGGAATAATCCAGACCATGCAATACTGTGGGGTATTTCTAATTTTTTTATTGGTGCCTTACAATTATACTTAATGGTGGGATTCATTATGCCATCTTTGTGCCCACACATAACATGATTTGATCAATCTTATTTAACACTGTAGTTTGGAGGAGGCCTCCGTGGAGTCTACAAATCCCTCTCCAGACCCACCTGGGCAGAGTCTGTGGGGATAGGCCAACAAGCCCCAGAGGCCTGGAAATAGGGTTTAAATCTACTTTGGAGGATTGTAAGGAAGGCCCAGAAATTGAAAGTTGGTGCCTTGGTCTGTTTTATACTGCTAGAAGAGAATGACTGAGACTGCATCACTTGTATTTTTTAAAAAGACATTTATTTTTACAGTCTGGAGGCTGGGAAGTCCAGAGTCCAGAGGCCCACGTTTGAGGAGGGCCTTTTTGCTGCGTCATTCCGTGGCAGAATGTAGAAGAGCCAGGGAGCATGCACGTGCACACTCTGAGAGAGAGGGAGCTGAGTCTACTTTTATAACAAACCCAGCTCATAATAAGATCAATGCATTAATCACCTTGTTGAAGTTCCATCTCTCAACACTTGTCGCCAGTGAGGGACTTAATTTCCAGCACATGAGCTTTGAGAAACGCTTTCAAACCACAGCAAACAGCTCTTTCCTGAGACCATTTCTCAGGAGCTCAGTCTACCCCTGGGCTGCTTCCTGCAGGAGGAGGGGTTAACTCACCCTTGTGGGGAGGGCTCCCCGGGAAAGTCTGCACCCAGCTCCACACCCACAGGAAGCCCTGGGCAGAGGAAGAGACTTCTCTGCTCATGCAAATCAGGAGTGACAGTGTCCCTGGCGACCCTCTAGACAAACCATTCCTTCCCCTGCTTACCCGCCCCGGTGCCTGAGGAGAAATAACTAATGGACAGAGATAATCCGGTGAGACTGGGGGAGTCTTTGAGAAGACAGAGCTGTGGAAATGAAGGCTGTTAAAACATGCCTGTGGTAAAGATGTGAAGACACTCTAAAAGCAAAACATCTATACTTAGATACCAGAGGAAGGCATGGGGGGGCACGTGTCTGGCTCCTTCCCCTTACTCCACCCCTTCTTCCTCCTCCCCTCTTCCCCAGTTTTTGGATCAGGCCTAGTGAAGCAAGCTCTTGTGTGCTTCCACGGAAGCAGTGGGTTGTCTGGCTCTTCCCTGAGGCAGGAGGAGCCCGGGCAGGGAGGGGTGCAGTGGCTCCTGGTTCTTGGCCTGCCGGGCCCCTAGCAGGGTCCAACCAGGCATGGGCAGGCACTGGACAGCTTGTACTGACCCTGGAGGAACACACAGTCCGTCCTCAGGATTCTCTAGGGGGACAGGGACATAGGACCCTAGAGACACAGCACCCATTTCAGACAAGCCACCAGAAACAGCTCTGAGCTCCAGAGTGGGAGGGAACAGGACAGAGAGAGAGTGTTGATGGGACGGGGCGCGTCCAGGAGGGCTCCCCAGAGAGGGCTGAGGGGGGAGCTGGCCAGGTGAGCAGGAGCTAGGGTCATTGGCCTATTCACCATCTCTTCAGCAAACATCTAAAGCTCCTATTAAATTCAGACACTGCTCAGGAACAGAGGACACAGGGGTCAGTAGAACTCAGCTTCTCCCCTAGAGAAACTCAGACCCAGAAGAAAAGAATCAGACATAACTATTAAAAAAAAAAAAAACTATAGCCCTGAAATAAAGACTGCATCCAAATCTGCACAAGTTGATGTGTGAGCAGAGAGGAGAAGTGGGCAGCCTGGCCCGGGGTGACGGATGAGGGCCAGGGGCTTCCAGGAAGGCCACAGGGGAAGGCACACCAGGCAGAGGGACTCATACAAAAGAAAGAGAAGTCTGATGGGAACCAGGCAACCATGTCACCAGGCCCAGCATGTGGTGCCCAGGGGAGAGGACTGGGCTGAGACTCAGAGGGCTGTGGGTACCCAGCTTATAGCCTGGGGGATGCTGAGAAGCACTGGCATGAGGACATGGTCACCTCAGCCTGAGAAAGGTGGGGCTTGTAGGAGAGGGGACACAGATGGTGACCCTGGGGCAGAAGTGCCAACAGTGGGGTACAGCCAGGGAGAGCAGCCTCAGGAGCGGGCCCCCCTCAGTGTTTGAAGTGAGGCCAAGTTTTGATGATGTTGTACAAAGCCTGCCCAGGGGACAGAAGGTTAGCCACATCACTGTGGCCCACCAGCAGGTAGTTGGGGTCCAGGTACCCCTTGACCACGGCACACTGGATCAGATCCTGGGCTGCGTCCAGGGACGCCGCATTCGGAGGTTTTTCTGCAAAACATATTTACTCCGTCAATCATTAGAGTCTCAAGGTGCTGGTTTAGGGCAGGGACAAGCAGCTAGATTCCAGTCTCCCCCTCTTCAGTCCCCGCTAAATCCCACCATCACCCTGATCGACAGATTCACAGGAACTGTGGAAATCAGACACAGAAAGAGGACAAGGCTCTGTGCTCCCCACTCCTCATGGCAAAAGTTTCTTCCAGTAAGTCGAAAGCCGCCCTGAAGTACAACTCCAGCGTGACACACCACTTCTTAATAAGAACAGAGCAGATCCAGGACCACTGGACCGTCGGGGACTGTGCCATAGTCAACACTGTTGCCATGGTTACCAAGGAAGAGGACACATTTGCCAGCTGAGCCATAAGAGCCCCAAAGTTTGCAAAAGATGTTTTACCTACCTTGCCCCACGCTACCTTGAACATGGGCATGAAGTGAAATGGGGCTGGGGGTGGGGAGGGGCGAATTGGGGATAATGTTTTGTCTGGGAGGGGCTCCTGGTGGCATGCATTCTGGACCAAGTCCACTTTAAAATATTCCACTGGCTCTGCAACTTTAGAAAGCGCCACGCTGCCACCTGTGCCCCCAGGGTATTCCTGAGTATTCTGCAGGGGACTTCATCTCCCAGAACCCCTCTGCCCGTCTTCCTCCCTTACCTACAAAGTTGCCTATGAAGGCAATTCCTAGAGCAATGTCGTTGTATCCATAGGTGTGGGAGCCTTGGACATTCCAGCCAACGCCTTCATATACTGCACCATCCTGGCCTACCAGGAAGCTAGAAATGGGCAAAGGAAATGAAGACAGTCACCCCGGAGCAGAGTTTGATGCACTCGTTCCTTCCACCATTCATTCACTCTCTCATCCATTGTCACGTACTGTCTGAATGTCTCGAGTGCCAATGTGCACAGAGGCCCCAAACAAAGACACCGTCCACCTCAATGTGCCTTTGTCCTCACCGCTTCCTGAGTCTGACCCCCTAAGATGACTGGTGACCTCCTTGACACATTGACCCCGTTGATCATGATCTTGAAATATTCTCCTCCCCAGGCTTCCCCAAGCCCACACCATCCTGATCCCCCACCCCACTCCGCGGCTCCCCTGGGTCTCTGCCACCCCACCTTCCCTTCACCAAGACTCATGATCTTTAGGACCCTGGACTCCTTCCTTGGGACCCTGGTCTAGCCCTTTCTCTCTTTCCACTCAATGAATTCACCCTGGACAATCATCAGCTGCCATGGTTTCAATCATTGTCTATAAAAGCCACCTGTCTTGGGTATGGTGGCACACGCCTATAATACCAGCAACTAGGAAGGCTGAGGCAGGAGAGTCAGAAGTTCAAGGCCGGCCCCAGTAATTTAGCAAGACCCTTAAGCAACTTAGTGAGACCCTGTCTTAAAATAAAAAAATAAAGAGGGTTGGGGATGTAACTCAGTGGTTAAGCACCCCTGGGATCAATCCCCGGTAATAAAAAAAAAAAATTGCTGAGATTAAGTTACAAATGAAATTTATCATACGCTAACCCTAATCCACTCTATGAAATTCCAAGGCACCTCCCAAGTAGCTTCTGCTATTCCATTAGTTTAACATGTTTCTTCATCTTACAGTTGGCATAAAGGGAATCAAAGGAGCACGTTTTAATCTCATTCCCTGTCTTCAAACAGAAAATGTATTGTTGTCCTTACCGTAGAGATGAGACAAAAACGACCCACAGAGGTTAAAAATTTCTGTCTATAAACAGAGAGAACGGCAGAGCATAGCAGCCTTCTAATACCGCAGAGAGTCAGTGTGGGCTTGGGCCAGACCAAGGTGGTGGGAGAGCAGGGCCTTTGCCTCTGACTGACCAGAAGGGGCTGCAGAGAAAGTGCACACCCCCTCAATGGCCTTCCCTGGGGGCCTCACAGTTTGCTTTATCTCTACTGCTTCCAGAGCCTTCCTTTCAGGGTCTCCCCAACCACTCTTGGATAATGTGTGCACGAGATAGAAGTAGCCCTACCTACTCTGAATGATTCTCAGTCTAGAGTCTTGCAACTCAAAAATGAATGCCTTAAGTGAAGTCCTGCCACCAAGGCAGGGCTCAGGCATCGCCAGCTCCTTCCCAGCCCTCCTTCCCACAGCCCTGAAGAAACAAGGGGTCATGTTTCCGTTGGTCCCACTTACTGATATCCAATGTCACAAAACTCTAGCTTGTCCATGTGGAAGGACTGTATGTCTCTGACGCTAATCAGGCAGTCCATGGACACATTGCAGCTGGTCCCAGCAGTGTGGATGATGATGACGTATTTGGCTGGGAGGCTCATTTGAGGGCAGTGTGTCTCTCTGGCTTCCCAAGCAGACCGTGGGGTGATGTCGGGGCAAGCTGAAGTGAGACGGAAAATCAAGAAAATGAGGATTTTCCTTTGCTCCTTTGTGAACAAGCTCACAACCACAGGGTGAGTTATACCTCAGTCTCACCCCAGTTTCCAGCACCCATGGGCACATCCTAACATGAACTTGACTCTAGGAGTTTGGAAAGGTCAGGAATGGATTGTCTGGGTCAGGTTGCTGAAGCCAAGGGACAGGGTTCTGATAACTACAGAAAAACCGCATAAGCAAAAGGGAACACTGTCAGTCAAACAGAGGGATGGCCATCTTCTTTAAATAACAAAGTATACCTGCATGTTTATGTACACATTACAAATGTATATTATGTAACAAGACTGATAAGCAGAAATCAGCTCATTTTTGAACTGATCATATGTATATGGAAATTATTCAAAAATCTATTTGAAAACTACTAATGTTAAGGCGTTGTCATTTTTGAAGATGGTACCTGTTATAAATAAGTCACGACAATATTATTTTAATGGGATAGAGAAGAGTCCAGGAAAGTGCCTGTTATGGTTTGGATATGAGGTGTCCCCAAAAAACTCCAGTGTTAATACAGGAATATTGGAGGTATTCCAGGTAGACTATGAGAGCATCAACCAACCTGTCAGTCTATCCTGGTTGGAATGGACGAACCAGGCAATAAGTGTAGGCAGGTGAGGTGTTCCTGGCGGAGGTGGGTCGCTGAGGACACGCCCTGGAAGGGGTCGTCTCTTGCTGTGGCCCCTTCTCCCCATCCCCTGCTTCACAGCTACCATGAGTGAGCAGCTTTGCTCCACTCTGCTCCACCATGATGCTCACCTCAGTCTCAGAGCAATGGAGTTGGCTGACCACAGACCAAGCTCTGAAACCATGATCCCAAAACAAACCGTTCCCCTCCTAAGTGGGTTTGCTGGGTATTTTGGCCACAGTGACACAACTCTGGCTCAAACAGCGCCCTCTCAGAATTTTGCAGGTATTGGCATTGTGATAGGTGTGAGATGTTCTGGATCTAGGAAGCCCAGGAGATCTCAGCAGGAAAGAGCCCTCCCAAGCGTGTATGGGTGGTGAAGAGGAGCAGTCTGAGGCAGGGTGAGGGTCTTACCTTTACTGGACACCCCTGGGTGCTGAGGGGCCAGGCAGGTCTCTTCTTTCAAGAGAAGTGGCTGAATGTACCTGGGTGATAGGTGACCCTTCTGGATGGCATAGAAGATCAGGCCCTCTGCAGCTGATAAGGCAGCAGGGCTGGGTCTGCTGCCTAGAAACGGATGACATTGGACACAGAATGGTCAGTAGTCCAACCTGGACTGGGGAAGATAAGATGACCACCTGAGCCCGAGTGACAGGTGGATGAACAGAGAGGAAACTGGTCCAATAGCTGGCACAGAGGGTCAGAGCTATTCAGACACACCGCTTCCAAATGCCAACTGAGGCTTTATTTATCCACTCCATCTGTGGGTGGGAGGGCCAGAAGGAGGTCAAAGATGCATACACAAAAGGCCCACTGACCCACAGTTGTGCCCCAGCACGGGGAAAAGTATTTCCTATGTAGTTGCCATGACCAAGCATGTGGCAAACTCTCTACATCCACCTCACAGTTCTCACTGGAAATCCCTGAGAAAAATGCAATTACTAGCTCAGTTATCAACTGGTGCCAGTTATCATCTATTAGCTCTCCACTCCATCCCTGCTCTGAGCTCTCCTCCGTTTTGGTTTTGGTTTTGTGCAGGATTGTACTTGGCTACAGTCCTACACACTGCACCTCTCTGGCTCCCTTTCCCGTGAGCTCTGGTCAGTATCTACGGTGGAAGAGACTGGAAGAAGAAATACCCCGTGTCGGGGCGTCAGTGTCAGATAACTTCAGACCCCAGAACTGACGGCAATCACTGTGAGCCCCAGCAATGTCCAGGGTGGCCTCATCAGGACGGGGACGGTCATAGAATCCAGCGGAGAAAAGAACCTCAGGAGACAGGTGATTATCAGAGGATGGGCATGATTTAGGCTGAAAAGGTAAAAGCGTTGAGACTGGGAGATGAAGGAGGCTGTAGACCACTCTCTGGCAAAGAGACCACGGGGATCAGCCATTACCTATCTTATTGCCAAAGAAGGCAACGCCCAGGGAGACGTTGTTGTAGCCTTGGGTGTGCGAACCCTGGACATTCCAGCCGACACCTTCGTACACCCTGCCATCGTCCCCAACCAGGAAGCTGCCAAACAAGGAAATGTGAGTTTAAGGGGAAATCTCTGTAACAGAAAACCCCTCACTAATCCTCAGTGGCAAATGGGATTCTAGATGCTCATAAATAAGTACTGTGCTTCAATAACACAATAACAGTCAGGGGGACAGAATGACAGATGTTAGACCTCTAAGAGACATGGGAATAGACTTCAACTTTTTACTTAGCTTACTTGTGCTTTCCGGGATCTCACTTTAAAATACTCATTTGTTTCAAAGTGGAATTTGAATGTGTGACTTTCAGGGACATTTGTTCAATATTTTCAAGGGCTTGAGAATTCATTAATCATGTTTTTAAATTACGGGACCAAGCACTTGAACATTCTTTAAAACAATGACCTGACCCTCAGGAGTTCCTTTAAAGTGGCTTTTTCTTTGGTTTCTCCTTAGGAATTCCTTCAAGCTCTTCTTTATCATAGAAACTTTTTTAGAATGTTCTCTTTTTTTTTTTTCAGTTCACTTTGAAATCCAATGTGTGTTTATTTTTACTCTCCCTGTTCATTTATTTCTGCCTCTTTACATACACTCATCCTCCACGTTCCAGTCTTCAGAATCGATATTCTCGCAACTCCTGCCATATTGAGCTTTTACTACCTCCCGAGTTTCCAAAGCTAACTGAACACTGAAGGGACGTGTACTTCCCCAAAGTCAAGCAAAGACCCTGCATTCAGTCAAACTGACTTCCCACCTCACAAAGAGCATCAGGGTGGGAGCCCAACACGTCCACCATTTCCCCTGCAGAAGCCTGAGGTTAGTCCAATGTGAACAGCCCCTCAGGGCTACAGTCAGCTGTAAGAAGTGGATACTGTTAAGTGGTCACTGCAGAAACCTGACTTCCAGGTGCAGTGGTTGAAATCGCTTACACATACTGTGGCTTAAGTAGGCAATGCCGCAGTGACCATTGCAGGGCAGTGTAGGTACGAGAAGCCAAGACAGGAGAGGCACTGCGGTTAACACAGTCAAAACAGCATCCCCAGAGGGTGAGCTGAGATGCCCCACCATCCTAGGGATGGCCGTGGCTACAACCAAGATCTCCAACTGTTCTTACTTATTAGTGTTTCAAAATAAACAAATCAGCAGGTGTGGATTATCCTTTCCAAGATGGATAATTCAGACATCATTTCTGTTTGTCTTTGGGATTCTGTAAGACAAAACCCCATTCCAACTCTCACTTTCTAGATAAATAAAGCTAAGTGGAACCATATGGTGATTCTATTCCTAGCCTTCTGATCTCCACGGATGGCCACAGTGGTTGAACTAAGTGAGAAAAGGTGCCTGGCCTCAATATCATCCTTAGAGTGGATAACTCCATACACGGAGCAAAGATCTTTCAGCCTCACGTTTTTCTTTTTTGTTAAGTTGGTGCATTATGATGATACATGATAGCGAGATGCATTGTGACGTATTCATACATGTACATGAGACACTGTGGGTCAGTTTCATTCCCCAGTCCTTCCTCTCCCTACCCCATTTCCTTCCTCTGTGGTCTCACTTCTAATTTCATGAGATCCCCCCCACTTTTGTTTTCTTTTTTTCTCTTTAGCTCCCAATATAAGAGAAAACAGTCTTTCTGAGTTTGGCTTACTTCACTTAACTTAATGCTCTCAAGTTCTATCCATTTTCCTGCAAATGATATAATTTCTTTCCTCTAGGTTGAATAAAACTCCGTTGTGTGTATACGTCCCACATTTTCCTGTTAATGGCCACCTAGACTGGTCCCACAGTTTGGCGATGGTGAATTGTGCTGCTGTAAACATGGGTGTGCATGGATTGCTATATTATACTGACTTTAATTCTTTAGGGTAAATACTGAGGGGTGGTAGCTGGGTCCTGCGGTGTTGATCCCTGTAGAGGTTGCACTATCTACAGACCCAGTGGTGTGTAAGTGTGTACTCACTTTAGCATGGGGCCCTCCTCCCCACCATTCCTGATGCCCACCCCTCCCTATGTGACCCTGGGGTGGCCCTTCAAGGTAATGAGTAGGAATTCACCACACAGGGACTCTCTGTGGGAGGATTGGAGGGGACAGGGCTGGACTGACAGGCAGTCTAGATGCTATCTTGGGTGCATGCTCCCTTCCTGTGTCACTCTGAACAAATTCACAGCATTCTCACCTGGAAATAAGGAGGTGCTGTTTCCTGCACCCACTCTTTCAAGTAGCTGGGCGGGCCTAACTGGGGGATACCTGTGAAGACCTTTGCCAACTGTGATGTTTGGTGAGCTCCCCGGGGGCATCTATAACTATCACATAACCTTCTCACCTCTTCTCAGGATTTCCCAGGGTCAAAGTCCACATGAGGAAATGGCTCAGAGTTGTCCCTCCTAGTGATCTCGGGAGGGTTGTGGATTCTGTTTGATCTCCTTTTTAACATTTTTTTATTCATTATGAAAGTAACATAAATGGAGCCCAGAATACGGGAGAAGGAGAGGAGGGGAGAAGGGACACATCTTTGGATAGGGGCTTTGGGACCCGACTGGCCACTTACTTGAACGCTACGTCGCACCGGCCTCTGGTGTGGACAGAATGGAACTGTAGGCCCCGCAGCATCTCGCTGCAGATGGTCTGCTCCTGGCACTGCATCCCGGTGAGCTGCTCCGCGATGAGGAAGGCCACGGGCGGGCTCAGGGGGGCCCTGCAGGTCAGGGGTCTAGCCCCCCACTCCTGGCGGGAGACTATGGTGGGAAAGCCTGCAGGGGAGACACCAGATAGCGTGCAGCAGACCCAGCCCAGCCTGACTGCAAGGAAAGGGGCCCTGGGGGGGACCTTTACCACCTGAAGCCCCTCCCTATCTCCACAGCCCCATCTGGGCTCAGCGACCACCCAGAGGTGCCTCGCCCTGGGCCTGGGGAGGCAGGTTAGTCCCCAGACAATCTCCCCTCACACGTACCTGGAGGACAAGCCTAGCTTCACCTCCTCCCTGGCCCGTATGATCGCCCCCTCCTTAAAACATCCCTAGCCAACACCCCACACAGAGCCCTGGGGCTCTGAGCCGCCTTCTCCTGAAGCGCCTTGGCATGGATTGGTAGGATGTGTTTCCCTCAACCCTGTTCTCTGCCTGTGTTCACCCAGATTAGTGACTCTCTGAGGGAAGTTCTGACAGCCTCCTCAACTAGGGGCTCCAAGCACATAGGAAGAAGACTCTTTTCCAGAAGGAAACTGTCCAGGGGCAGGGCTGCAAGACACCCACCCAGGACGGGGCTGCTCCCGGAAGGTTCCCTTTCTCCTCCTCATCGTAAGAGCCCCAGGAGCTCTCGAGGAGCAATTCTCTCACCCTGGGAGCTGGGGAGTGAGGGATGCGTCCTTTCTACCCAGGTTTTCTCTCCTCTTTCTTCTCCTGGTTTTCTCTTCTTTTCCTGTCCTTTGACCAAGGAACCCACCTTTCCCTACGAACTCAGGACAGTCCCTGGAAGTCACTGACAGGTGAGCCCCTTGGAACTCTGCCCCCCCTTACCCACTCCCAGCCCAGTCTGTCAAGTCCTGAGAAACCCCGGGCAACCCCCAAACAATCTCACCGTTGTGACTCCTGCCAATGAGCTGTGAGATGCTGATATACAGATCCAGAAGCTTCTCTGAGATTCTTCTGTCTAGGGTCTCATCCCAGGAGAACTGTGGGCCATTCCCTGCAAAGGTGCCTGCGTTGGTCCTCAGAGAACACCTGACCAGCTTGCCCAGGGGCACCTTCCAGACATCCCCACCCCACAGCCCACGGTCTTTCAGCCTCCCAAGGCCCAGAACATCTTGTAGGAAGCAACGAAGGAGAACCACCGACATCTCTGGTCTCAGCCTGCCCCTGCCTCCCACATCGGCTCCCAGGAGGACTTTATCCACCCGTCCCTGCTCCAATCCCCCTCCATCCCGCAGTCTTTCCTGCTGCCTTATCAGAGCAGGGCTGCCTTCCTGGACCACCTGCATACCTGCTGATGCATCCAGTGGGGGCATTATTTTGAGTTAACACTTCATACTTACATTAGGCACCTATTGGTGCCATACAGATTTCTTAAAACAGACACACATGGGTCATGGGTCTGGTCTCAAAACACAAGTCCTATTGAGGATTAGTCAGTGCCAACTTGTCCTCATCCCCCATCGCTCATCTGGTACTGGTCAATACCAGAAGCCAGGGGAGCAATAACAACAGCAGCAGCCGCACTGTCCCCAAGGCCACCTCCCACAGGCCAGCTCTGGGATGACAAAGACCCCTCAAATACACCATCAGAATCGTGGCTTAGAACAACTTCATGCGATAAGCAAGGCAAACAACGACTCCCTCCACAGGTGGGAAACTGAGGCTCAGTGGGGCTGAGTGAGTTGACTCACACAGCCCAGGTTTTGAGCAGTGGACTTAGATCCCCACCCGATTCTGACCCCAGAGCTGGAGTTCATGACCAACACCCTCTGCAGCCTCCCCAGAGATGGCAGATGAACTGAGCCTCTGGTCAGGGAGGCTGTTTCTCTGTCTATACGGCAAAGTCACTGAGGGTGTCTACCATGGTTCTAGGATTCTGTCCTCAGAAATCAAGGGCAAATGCATGACCCCAGGCTAGGAGCACTGAGCAGCTGGGCAAAAGCCGAGGAGGGAGTCTGTCTGTTCAAGGAAGCAGCCCCAAGCTGCCAGGGAAACAGGACATGAGAGGAGGCGTAGTGGCCCTGGAGACGAGGATTTCCAATGACGTCCACAGGGCCCTCGTGGTGGAAGAACAGCCGTCAGGCCAGAGCCTACACCACAGAGGCTGGACAAGCACAGAGCACAAACCAAGAGACCAGGATGGCCACTGCTTCACTTAAGCAAGTTCCTTCCCCCTGGGGGCCTCAGTTCCCCCCTTCTTAAAGTGGAAGACGAAACTATGTTTCCCCTGATCTGTGACTTTCTCCAACATGAACCCCGTTTTAGTCAGCTCTTCAGCTGCCAAGATCAGAAGACCTGACAAGAACAATTTAGAGGAGGAAAAGCTTACAGTTTCAGAGGTCTCAGATGAGCAAGAACACCATGGTGGAAGGGTGTGGGGGAGGACAGCAATTCAAGTCATCACACAGGAAGCAGAGAGACAGCTCCACTCTCCAGGGACAAACCATATACCCCAAAGGCACACCCCCAAAGACCCACTCCTCCAGCCACACCCTACCTACCTACAGTTAGTTACCACCCAGTTAATCCCTATCAGGAATTAAGGCTCTCACAACCCAATCATTTCACCCCTAAACTTTCTTCATTATCTCACACACGAGCTTTTTTAAAAATATTTCTTAGTTGTAGATGGACACAATACTTTTATTTTATTTGTTTATTTTTATGTGGTGCTGGAGATCAAACCCAGTGCCTCATGCATGCTAGGCAGGTGCTCTACTGGCCCCACACATAAGCTTTTGCAGAACACCTCATATCTAAACCATAGCAAACTCTTAAGTAATCCCATTGAATTATCTAAGTAACAGGGCACAGAGAGAGAGGTCTTTTATATCATTATTTCTAAAAAGTAACTATGCATGTAATACAACATGAAAACATGTCCAGTACTTAAGAAGCACCAAAACTAGTTCCATTTTGATTCAATAGCATTTATGTATTGAGCATTTGCTATCATATGTCTAATCTTATGTACAAAATTATAAGAAATATGATGTTGTAGTAAAGGGCATTGCTATTCTAAAGGAACTTGCATTTATTCACAATTATAAGCCCTAGTGCTTGGTATAATATACTATGATTGGTATAATAATTATGGTAGCATAATTAAATCATAGCCAGAAATTAACTAGTCCTTATTACTTGAGCATTATGCTAACTGTCTCACACTTTGTATCTAATCCTCAAACAACTCTAAGAAATTAGCAAAATTATTCTTCCATCATGGAAGCAAATAAAATTCAAAGATACTGGTTAACTTGTTGAAAATTATAGAAAATGACAGGAAAAGTATTTGAACAGAGATCTGTCAATCCCAGAACAGTGCTCCAAACTGAAAAGCTACACCACCCTCTAGCAAAGGAGGAGCTTTTCGGAGCATTTCTGTTATCCAATGTAAAGATGTCATTTGTCACTCACCAAAAGTACTTCTGATACAAGGGAAGAAAACTTACCCCAGGCCTGGTGACTCAGAGCAAAGAAGACAAGAAGCAGGAGCAGCATCCTCACGTGACCTCAGGTGGTGGCCTGGGAGGACAGTGACCCTGGAGAGACACTGACAGTGAATATGACAGGCTCCCTCCTTAGATAGAGCACTCACCTATGGTGCCCGTATCTGCTTCCTGAGGGCCAGCACCTGGCTCAGGCTTCTCAAGGTCCTCTGCATACACCAGGTGCTCAGTAAAGGTGAGGACACTAACGGGTGGGGGAGAGTCGTGGCTAGACACAGGCATTAGTGTTCTCACATTTCTTGATTATAAATCAACCCTGCGAGGCTATCTTCACATGTAGTGCTTTAATTTTACATCTATCCCTTACAAAATCCCTCCAAGATAAACCTGAACACCATTTTTGCAGATAAGAACACTGAGGTTCAGATGGACCAAATGACAAGTCGAGGCAGGTTTGGTCTTCAGACCGTGCACCGTTGGAGAGTCAGAGGGGTGTAAAGTCTCGATTCTGTTCTTCAATTTACAAAGATCCCTGACCGATGCTCAGTTAACCTCAGGATACGGTCTCCAAAGGCCTGCTCCCAGGACCCCTCCCTTTCACTAGGTCCCCCCCCCTATAGTTTCTGCCATTGCCCAATTGTCCATTCAACTATGACCCCATCCGTGAATTAATCTATTGATAAGATCAGAGCCCTCGTGACCCAATCACCTAGCGACCCCAAAGCCCCAACAGAACATTGCTACATTGGGGACTAAGCCTTCAACATGGGACCCTCTAGGGAACAGTGAGATCCAAATCTTAACATTAGAAAATGAGAATAATGTCGGCAGTTACTGATCTCCTTCTGTGGTCCAGGTATTTTCTGAAGATTCCATGGACCATTTCATTAAAGTCCACACCTACCATCAGGAAACAGCCTCAAGCAGTTTAAATCATTTGCTTGAAGTTCCCCAATGTTGTGATTTGGATTTGTAAGATCCCCCAAAGCCTCAAATGTTGAAAACTTAATCCTCAGTGCAGCAATGTTCAAAGTGGGGCTTTAGAGAAGTATTTGATCATGAGAGCTCTAATCTCATGATCATGGGAGTATCTAATCATGATGCTCACCAAAGGCCCATAGCAATGGAATCAGCTGACCATGGACTGAGACCATGAGCCAAAATAAATCTTTCCTCCTTTAGGTTATTTTTCTCAGGTATTTTGTCACAGGTGCTGAAGAGCTGACTAACACACCCAACTACCCAGAACCAACCTCTACTACTCAGGTCTGTCTGACCCAGAACCTCTGCCTGAAACCACAACCTGCCTGAGTTTCTGATGGTGGAGATTCTTCAAGTGGCCCCAGAAGACAAACTACAGAATCACTATGGTCCCCACCACCACCAGCTCCAGGAATTTTTTCTGCTCTTTCAGACAGCAGTGAATAGCGTACTCATGTTCAGTCAATATGAAATATCAAGCTATCAACCAAAACACCAACAACTGAGAAACTATAGAAGGAGGTTTAGATGGGACAGATGATGGGATAAATCATCACCTTCATTTAGTACTACAGTCTCCTGATGGAAAATTCTTAGAACCACAGCTTAAGGGTTGAAGATATAGGAACTTCCTGGATCAGGACAAGCAAGCTCATAGCAAATAACACCAGGATTTCATTCATTTAGGAAAACCCTGCACCAAAGACAAAATGACCCCCTCACAAAAGAGGCAGTCACCAAAAAGTGTCTGGGACAGTGTTCAGCCTTCCTCCTTATTCAAACAAGACACAAGGATCAACTTTCCCAAGGCGGAAACCCTGTAGCTGGCCTCAAGAAAAGGAGTTGGCCCCTTGTAGAAGTCCTAGAAGCCACGGCCAGTCCTGATCAACGAGAGGTTTGGATGACGGTCACTTAATGGTGCTTCCCCAACCATGAATGGTAATGTCACAAACCCTGCCCCACACCCCTCACATCATACAACTGAAGTTTGAGGCCTGAATCCAGCCTCCATCTCCCCAGGGACAGGACTGTGGTGTCTCCCACTGGCACCTGGAGCTGCCGACCCTGAGCTGGCAGGGTAGGTGGGCGCCCTGGCTCACGTGGCCACACATCTCTACCCTTAAAATAAATAAATATCAGAGCAGGAGACAAATGAAATCTAACAGGGATTGGACCGAAAGGGAAGGAATTGTGTGGAGGAAACCCCAAGACCCACAGCCTTGGAGAGAAAGATCAAGGAGGGCTGGTACCAAAGTCACTTAGAAACGTGGAGAATAGAAAAGAAGAGTCCAAGACGGGGACCAGGGGAACTTTCTCCTCCATGTCCACATTTTAACCTGACCGAGTCCAGTGCCTTCTTGGGGAGGGGGACTCTGAAGAAGAAAGACTCAGACTCAGCAATACCTACAGAACCCTGCGCTGTCCTCGCCCAGCAGGTCACCTCTAGACTTGGCCTCTGGTGCGGTCTCCTCCTCCAGCCTTCCCTCTCCCCAGCACTAGAGGGCGCTCCTTCCCTGGGAATGGCGCACTCTGGCTCCGGCTTCTCCGAGGGAAAGGAAAACCTGGGATCCCTGACAGAAGACAGAGGGCAGAGGTCCAAAGCTGGCTCCTTCCGCAGCACCCAGAGGAACTCAGGTGAAACCAGACTGGGCTGGGAGCACCTGGGGACCCGCCCTGAGAATAAGCCCAGGAACCTCCTCCCTGGGAAAGGACAA